CCTGCATCTCTGGTTCCCTTTTTAAATTTCTTAAAATGTTTTCCCCTTGGTTTATTTCATCAATTATTATTATTTTTATTATTGTTTTCTTCGTCTTGTTTTGTTTGCTGGTTAATCTCTGCTTTTACATCTGCTCTTTCAGTTGGCTCCTTTTCATGGGCATCTTGGTCACTCATTGTCCTTTGTATAATATTTCCCAGTTTTTTATCCATGCCGTGTATTAAGTTCTTAATAAAACCTTGTGGTTTCTTATCATTCTTATCAGAATGTCCTTGATGCTTTGAAACATTAATGCCGTTTCCCACATTCCACTCATTTCCTCCTGATGGCATCTTGTCTTGTTTTAATAAGTCCTGCTCTTATCCAAGTAATGCAAAAATCATGTATTCAAGCCTAAAGTCACTCCCCCCCAAAATTCAATGTTCACAATTTTTTGTATTCCACAGTCAATCTGTTCCTTTAGATAATCTCAGCAGCTTTTCCAGAACCTCCTTAAATACCCTTTATGTGTTCAATCTCATATCATAGCATTCAGGGGCTCTTTAATGAAAATATATTTCTTATTCTCATATTTAAATCTCCAGTAGTCATGTTGTAGATGCATAAAACATATCCTTGTCAGAATTTTCCAGGATTTGAGAATGTTATATTCTCCTTTCATCACTCTGTTTAGATTTCAGTGTTGACCAGTTTTAATCAAATAATAAGTCAAAATATAGAAACAAAGTTAATTTTTAGGTAAATAGTTCCAATATTTTTAAAATGCCTTTCTAGAACAATGCCTACTCAGTTTAAAATTTTCTGTATCTTTAAAAGTTAGGGGTTTTTTTTTGCCTTTCTCCCCTTGATTCTTTTCTTTCAGTTCTGAAGTTTTTCTCAAAGTGCTTAGTCACTGCTTTAGCAAATAGTTGTGACCCTCTCTTTGCCTGGATTTTATCCTTTTGGGGTTAGGTTTTAAATAAAAAAGAATCCTCTCATCCAGTTCCAGAGACTTCACTAATTCCACTCCAGCACCAGTCCTTGGTTGTCCCAGCTTCATGGCAGCCATCTTTTGGCTGCCTCTTCTCGTGGCTGAGAGGGGGGAAAAAGCCTGGGACCAGCAGCAGGAGAGTTGCAACTCTCCTTGGTCTCACAGGGCACCCCTCTTTGCTTCACTGCCCCTACAGGGTGAACAGGGAGAACTCGGCATGGGAGCGCGGAGACCCGCTCCTTGTGTTTGATCTCGTTGCGATGTCAACCAGAAGTCAAGACTAGCAGTATTCTTGAAGGAAGTGACAAGGCTTAATTAATCTCTTGGCTTTTATAATCAGAAGCCCTAAGATAAAGATGTCCTATTGTTTCTTTTATTTTTTATTTTTCTTATATGTATCCATGTATTCATAACTATGTTTTTATTTATACCTATTATCTTGTAAGCACTTGACAAAAATAAAAAATAAAAAAAACAAATAGATACTGTGGTAGATGAGAATGAATTAGGTACATCTTACCCGGATGCTTCAGCTGGAGTTTTCTGCTGACTGCTAATGACAACCTTGTGTAGGCATCTGGAAACTAACCAGCCATAAGACAAAATATATATAAAAATGGATGTTGGACTGATCTTATTTCAAGTTTATTGAAATACACAACACACACACATACACACACCCTTGTGAGTCAATAGAAGACGACACTTTATTTTGAGTTGTAAGATAATATTTCAGGGGGGGAAAAGTCAGTAACTTGATAATATCAATCTTTTATCAAACAGAGATATTTCCTTTTGAAGAAAATAAAAAGTATATATTTTTATCTTTTGTGATGAAAGGGAGATTATCTCCACAGCATATAGTCATCTGTCACAGTTGCTAATTAGCTTCCTTTCTTACAGTTGGTAGATTTTGGAAGGAAATAGTTTTCCGATGCAGTTTCTAAAGACTTTGAAGAAAGATGCAAAACTCCATTAATCACGATTAATAGTAAAAGAGCATAGTATATTCATAGTATATTCATATTAAGGAAGCATAGGCATAATTAAGTTAAAAAAACAAAACACAATCTTGGCACCTAGAAAAGAAAACCTTTAAAAAGTCAAAACAAAATGAAACGAAACCTGAATAAGAACTTCCACCTCTTTATGGGCTCTTTTAAATATTTCTCTTTAAGGGTTCTCTTCTAGAAGAAAAATAGCATCAACGCCTTCGGAATTTGTTAGCTGATCTTGTTGCAAAAATTGCTTTGCTGCCATCTAATGATGAAGTTTGGTTTTTAAAATGATAAGTCGCTCTGTTCTGCGATATTGGGAGAAAGGAATTAAATGGGATGATCCCCCCGTATTTAACTAGCAAGCCATTTATGTTGGCGTGTCACTCTCTCCGAAGAATGAATGTATATTCTATAAATAGGAAAAGTAATCACTAAAGAACGTTAAGTGACCCCGTCGCATGCTTATCGCATCATAGGTCTGATTCTGTAGCCGTTGCTATAGCAACCAGTTTTGCAGCCGAACAATCCTGTGCGCCTCGCAATTACGTGTCAGCGGTCGTTAGTGACGTCTCCCTTTTGGGAAGCTGGAGGAAGCGACTCTAAGGAAGGAAGGAAGGTGAGTGACAGGTTCCTGCGCCCCCAACGCCTCAGCCTTTCCTGCACCTCTTAAGAAAAAATAAAAATAAATATTGTTTCCGCTAATGGAAAAGCCGCATAGTTTGGTCCGATTTCAGAGCCCCCCTTCTTCCCGAGCTCCTTCGGTGACCCTTTTATGGGACTCCCCTTCTCCTCCTCCAAATAAAAATGGAGCTTTTCCTGCCTTTTCTTGTGTTCTCTGCAGCGCTACTTTTAAATTATGATATAGACCTTCCCTTCCCTTGTATTATAAGGAGACTTGCGCTGCCATACTGCCCCTCAGCCCGGACTTCATTGCCTCCCTTCACACGTATTACGGAGTATTGAAAGGGTGGGTGGAAGTGGGGGGGCTGACACATGGGAAATTGTGTTTTTAAAAGGCAGCGTTGTTGGAGGAGGGAATGTTGCCCTTAGAATTTGGCAGTCAAATGAATTGAAAGGCAGACTTTTAGTGGGAGAAATAATGGATAGGTTTAGAAAGATGTTTAAACGGGCAGGGTAAGATGAGATATCAAACAATAACCTTTTATTCTTTCTAGTTTTCTTTTTAGTTTGTATTTTTTATTATTGTATACAAAGCTTTTAATAATAATAAAAACAATCACTCAGTGAAGAAAAGTGCATAGGCATAAAAATCCAATTAAAATTAGCTTCTTAGTAGCCTCCCTTTTGGAAAAGAAATCTCCCAATTGTACATACTTTCATGTTGAAGTCAATTTATTTATTTATATTTATTTTTCAAATTTATATAGCTGCTCATTCTACAAATGTGATTCTGGGTGGCATAAAATAAAAAGAACAATAAAATATAAACTTTTAAAACAAATATGTACTATGGAGAGTGTTAAAAATTGATACATAGTAAGTCACTTTGCAAGTTCTTTTAATTTCCCAAGGATTCCCAGACCTGCTAGAAAATCATAAATTCAGAAGGTGAATAGGGTCTCTGCTAACCTTACCTGGAAGTAGGGGAGATGATGTTGAAGATAGTAATTTAAAAAAGCATGAATGTTGATTGTTACCAGTCCAGATATTTAGTTACATTTACTTTCATTTGTGGACAAAATGCATTCCTCAGTTTTCTATTCACTGTGGTGCCAAGGCATAGCAGTGAATGGCTTTTCTCTTTTTACTGCAGTTTGGGAGAGGAGAAATCTATAATTTTCCAGATGTTGAACCATTTTCCTTTATTCCTAACTTGGCATGTTGTGTTGGACTTGAGAATTAGATTTTAACAATATGGAAAAATCAGAAGACCTCATATGCTGATTTTTTGACCTATATTAGAAGATACCCTGTTGGTTTTAGGATTCTTATAAGTAGTGCTGTCTGCTGTCTTTCAAACTGTAGGCAAAAAGCATATCTTATAGATTTTAGACAGAATTTGAACACTGCAAGTTAATAGTTGCATAAATAGTAAAATAATTTCAATAACAAAGATGATAAGGGGAACTAGCTATCTCAGTTATGTTGGTTTTCAAATGTCAGGTTTGCCATATTGAAAATCTAGGTAGGAGGTATTAAGGGTGGATGCACACTGCTGAGTGCAGGCAGGTGGAGGGTGCTTATGGATATGAGATCTGTAATGAGGCTCACTAGGAGAAAAAGAAGGAGCAACTTAGGAGAATTACTTGCAACCTACCCTGCCAGCTTCCCCATTGACTTTGCTTATGGGAAATCAACAGGGACAAATGGTAATCAGAGGAGTACTCTCATTGCGATGTTAGAATTGCAAGCCAGGTGCTGAGTACCTGGATTGCGATAACTTGACTATGAGGACCCTGCAACTGTCACAACTATGGACCAGCGGTAAGTTCCCACATTCAGCACCATTATAATTTTGAACAGTCATTGAAAACTTGAGGCCACCTGTATCAATTCAGAAGCAGAGATATAATATTTTCTATCTCATCCACCTCAAATACTTCCATTCAAAATGCTATTTTGTTGCAACATGAATTTGTAAATAGAGGTTTATTTGTAAACTGAAGAGCTTCATTCCACTTATTCCACTTATTACATAAATTAAGCTTACATCTTCCTTGATAAGTAGGAAATAGCTGGACATAGGAAAATAGTTTAGGCAATTTCAGTGATTTTTCAATTTATCTAGAGTCCCAGGCCTGTCAAACTGGTGGCCTGCGGGCCGGATACATGACGTGCAGGCCACGCCCACCCCAGCTCTGCAAAGGCAAAAAACATAGCAATATACCATGATTCAACCCGTGAAACAATCAAATTTGACACCCATGATCTAGACCAAAAAATGATCACTTTGATTAGAAAATCTGTTTCTGAGTGAGTGACTGAATTATTCATAATAATAATTATGCTAAATAAAAATTATTCTATTTTTTTAAAAAATAGAAAGTCAGTTTAGCGTATTGTTACCAGACTAGACACCAGGAGACTGTGAATTCTTGCCTGCCTTAGTCATGAAAGCCAGCTGAGTGACTTTGGACCACTCACTCTCTCTCATTCCAATTCACTAAGAAGTTTGTTGCTGGAGAGAAATTAGGAGGAAAAACAAGTATTAGGTATGTTTACCACCCTGAGGTATTTATAAAAATAATAAAAGGTTAAAAATAATTAAATATATAAATTCAGAGTTCTATTATACATGTTTTTCCCAATTTTGAGGGATCATAAATTTTCAAACAAAAGAAAACAATTTAAATTCATATGTTAATTATTTATATCAGTGACCCCCAACCTTCTGTGCACCATGGACTGGTTCCTTGGAGAAAGTTTTTCTGTGGACCGAAAGGAGTGTGGTTTTGCATGCTACCTGCATCCCATGGATGGAGCTTCACTTGTTTGCATGGTCCAGTTGCTGGCATGCTGTGCACCGATGCTGATCCACAGACCAGGGATTGAGGACCCCTGATTTATGTCATAATGTTTTTATTCTATTGCTGATAATCAGACTATTGTGTAAAACATTAATGTCAGAGACTAGCCTAGCCAGGGGAAGGACCAAGTGGGAAATTGGTTTCAAATCCTTTTATGGAGATAGGAAGCAAGGTCTGACTTCCCCCCTCATTCCCTTGAAGGTTATTCAACCTTATCTAATCTGGCCCAGGTACAAACTGCCAGTCTGGGAAGATTCCTGTGAAATAGGCATGAGCATAAAATAACTACTGGTAAGTGAACTCTTCAAGTTTGGATCTGGTTGTTCCTATATGATAGTTAATCAAGATAGTATTGTATTTTGTTGAATAATAACTAGCAACACTAGGCATCTTCTAACCAAGCAAACTATGGTAGAGTTTCTTCCCTTAGTTTCTTCATGGTTTTTTTTACTGCAATAAGTGGCTTTTGCGTAGGAAAATTAATGGATTGAATAGATTTTGAATATGCTTTTTTAAATTCCTATTTCAGAGTTTTACACTGCAGTGTAGAGAAACTGTACAAAGATATCTACAACCCTGGACAATCTCCATAACTATTACATTATTAACTAAACCAGCAGTTAATTTTGACAATAACTTGCTATGTATAGATGTAACTCTCACATAATTTCCAAGTTCTTTGTTTTGCAGCAAAAAGTTGGATTTTTAAAAATGAAGACATTATTTAGTCTTTCAGAGTTAGTTAGTTATTCTTCACTTGTTTATTAAATTTTTATCTCACCTTAAGTAACTCAAGGCTGTGAACCTACATAATATTATTGCATGTTATTGTAAGAATTTTACAGATTTTTGTAACTTATTTAATAGTTGCATGAATAGAGTATCTAGGACTAACCAGCAACTCGGTTAGTCTTAGTTAATCAGTTAATAACTATTTCTACTGTTTTCAGTTTTATAGAAAAAAAAGTAAATTCAACATGGTAGATACATTTTTATAGGTAAAAATTTCACAAATTCTCTTTTCCTTGTGATTTAACTGTAAAGATATAGCACCAAAATCTGAATGCAGTGCTGTCTGAAATTATTGTAGTCTTTGATCTAAAACTGAATTCTATCTTCTTCTTTTAGCTGAAGATGGAGCCTCCTGAGATTACCATAATTGAAGGCGTGGGAGATGAAGTGACTGTGGTGGCTGGTATAATGGTCCTTATTATGGCCTTGGTCCTGGCCTGGCTCTCTACGTATGTTGCAGATGGTAGCAACCATCTTCTAGGAACTGTTGTGGCCACTGGAGATTCATCAGTGATCCATCTGAACCCCATTGAAAATTATGTGGGAAATTCTGTTTCTGAACAATCTGAGCCAGAGAATGCTACAGAAAATACTGAAGAAAAGGCGGATGAAGGTTCTGCTTCTGGCACCAGTCCTACACTAGAGCAAGTTGATAATGGCAGTGGCTCTGATGCTGCTTTAGACTGTCTATTGGACATTCAGGGTCTGCCACAAAGGACTGTTTCAATAGAAGGTGTTTCTCAGGAAAGCCAGGGAGTTCCACAAGCAGTAACCAATATGGAGGAGAGTGAGCTAAATCCAGGCTTCATCAAAGTGCGTCTCAAATTCCTCAATGATACAGAAGAAGTGGCTATTGTAAAACCAGAAGACACCATAGGCATACTGAAGAGGTACTGTTGAATATTAACATATATTTGTTTGGTATACTCTCCTTAGTTGTTTGAAAAAAATTATATAATTTTAAAAATATCATCTCAGAATAGATTATAACAATGTGGTATAATTTATACAGGCTTGTCATTATATGGTAGATCATCACTTTAATTGATTTTGGAACCCTCACTATAGTTTAAAACTTTTCTCACTTTTACTACATATTTAAAAGAATCTTAAAAGGTATTCCTACTGTTGCAATGTAGGAGGGAATCAAACCCAGCTGGTAAATATCTAGAGATCAGTTCAGCAATCACCATATACTTTTTCTTCCATTTTGGAATCATAGGGGATGTTTAAACTCCCTAAACCTGTTGAGAATAACTGATTATTCTGACATACAGTACACATAGTTCTTGACCTGGGATACTGCAACTGTCATAAATATGAATCAGTTGCCAAGCACCTGAATTTTAATCACATGACCATGGGGATACTGCAACACTTGTGTGAGAAATGGTCATAAGTCATTTTCACTGCCATTGTAACTTTGAATGGTCACTAAATGAACTGTTATAAGTTGAAGACTACCAGCATTTATACAACCATGGTCACAATGGGAATGAAGCTTAGCAATTGTATTGTTTTTTGTAGATGACTTACTTACAAAATGAATGTTGACCATGATACAAGCATTGCATGAGTTAAAATATGTAAAAAAAACTACATGGATTTAAAGTGTTATTAAAACACTTTATTAATAAATTATATCTTGGCTATGTTGTCATGAAATAACATGTTGATTCCCTTATAAAGGCTCATCAGTTTATTAGAATATGAGAGATCACATTTTTACTGACATTTTTATTTATCTATGTTCTTTCTAAAGCAAATATTTCCCAGGCCAGGAAAGTCAGATGAAATTTATCTACCAGGGTCAGCTGCTCCAAGACCAGGCACGGACTCTGCAGTCTCTCAATATACTGGACAATTGTGTAATCCACTGTCATCTCTCCCAGACCGTTTCTGCCATTCCTGACACTGTGGTAACACCATCAGAAGCTGGGGGTATTACTTTGAGCATGAGTGACTTGATGATTCCCATTTTTATGCTGATGCTGGCAGTGATCTGGTATTTCCGAATCAACTACCGCCAGTTATTCACAGCGCCTGCCACCATTTCGTTGGTTGGAGTGACTGTATTTTTTAGTTTTCTTGTTTTTGGGATGTATGGACGGTGAGCAGATAGGGGAGAAGAAAAAATTCAGCTACCTTTTCAACCAAAATGCTTATTATCTGATATGCTCACTTGTTAATAACCAACAGCACAAAGAAATGCTCTTACCCAGAATTCTATACAAATTGAAAAAAGGCTTTACAATTGAAAAACAAAACAAAATCTTAATTGCTACATTTTCTGTGGCTGTCTGGATATTTTTGAAACCATTAGTAAAAGATGAAGATATGACACATGAAGAATAAGGCATTATTAGTTCCTCTGCTTTCCATTACTTGGTTTTCACTTAAAACACAATTCTTTTCCATCTATGTCTCAAAAAACAATTTGGCTGGTCACACCAATGTTTTCTTCATATATCTCATTCTGCAAAATGATTAGAAAGTTATTGATGATTGGTCTGAAATCCAATTCCTGTCTTATATGCCCTTGGATGTCTTTTGAATCCCCCAATTGAGGAGGAGCATTTTTAGCTGAACTGTTTGCCTAATCAATTTGTTGCTTCTTGGACAAGCATGGAAGGAATGATCTTGATGTACATTTCTTTTATTAATTCCACTGTGTCCAATTATCTAGTGATAAAGCAATGACCCATTGCAGTCCATGAATGCCAATGAGTGGAACAAATGGAATATCTACTGCAGCTCACATAGATTAATATCTCAAAATCAGGTATTTTTGAACTGTGTTTTGAAGATATCTGGCTGTATCTTAACTGGGGACTTACACATTTAGTCAGTCCCTATCAGAAATACGTATGTATGTTGATGGGTAAAGCACAGTGAGTTGAGATTGCAAGCTGGATGTCTATTTGGTGCACCTTGTACTTGCTTGAGAAAAGGTAACAGGTGCACTTAGAGATTCCTATCAACTGTTTAGGCAGTTTATTTACCGTTTGTAGGTAAGATATATGTTGACATGTGCCTAACCAGTCAAACAGAAGAAAAGTGTGTCTGCTGTCATCAGTATTTTTCAATGTTATTCATATGTAGATTAGTTTAGTTATAGTTTTAAACTCCATTGATTCTATTCTCTTTGAAGCATGATTGCTTCAAATTAATTTTCTTGTAGATAGGAGTTAATCAAAGTGTTAAAGTTAGGTTACTGCCATGGAATTCACTGCTATAATTCCTAGAGTCTGAACGAGAACAGACAATTACTGAGAGCTGAAGTTTCCATTGGAAAGAACTGTTATTTTAAACATAGGATTAGATATTAAATTAGCCCCGAAGTTGTAAGCAAGAGGAATATTATGTTTTTAGACATCATGGTTACAGAGAAACTCAAGTTAAATTGCAGACTTAAACATCCAATTTAATTACTGGTGCCAAGCAGAAATGTCTAAATGCTGCTCAAAGCTACCCTGTAATATTTTCAATTGCTCTAGCTTCTAAAATCAAGGCATTAAGAACAGATTAACAGAAATGTTTTTTGAACTGAGGCTTGCTAGATGTTTTGGAATGTATAAGAGTGTGTACAAAGTTCCTTGTCATTTTTCTAACTTTTCTGGCTACTTCACAACTGCATTTGTGGGCATGCACACAGACTTAGCAGTGAAATAATTATGCATGTACATGAATAAGGAGACAACTGGCTGCCTCCAAAGTTGTCTAAATCAGGAAAAATGACATTGCTGTTGGAAAAGAAGTGCTCTGTATGTGTTCCTGTATATAAAAAGTGCTCTTGGGGGATTTGTAGAGCTCTAATTTTAAGTACATCTTTGCTTGATATGTTGTCTGAAATGTATACTTGTAAAAAAGAAAAAAAATGTATAAATATTCCTGGAAACTGTCTTTTCTGTGCATTCATTCTGAATTTAAGATTAGAGGGAAAGTAAAAGAAACATGTAAATAACTACATAATTAGAATGGTTAGATGGGGCCATTTTGCTAATGCTTATTCATAGGCATCCAGGTAAAATATTTCTAAATGACTTGTTTGGTATACTTGCAAGTCTGTTGTAGAAATTAAAGACTTCCATAGCAAAGTACTTATTATACAAGAGTTTTTCTCATCAGGAAATCTTTTAAAAACAATCATGAAGATCTGTAATAGTAACCACAGAAAATTTGGATGTTTTTGTAAGATGTCTGTATTTGTATAAATAAGGTACTCTGTTGAAATCCAAGTTCTATGTTGGGTAAAGTTAAATTTTTGTCAACTGAATGATTAATTTAGGTAAACCAGTTTTTGTTTAGTTTTATAATTTATTTCAGAGAAGGGAAAAAAGTATTTGCAGAATTCTAAAATCCATATTTTGTAGAGTATTGTTTTGTATAACCTATTTTGTCCACTTGTTAAAAATACAAAGTGCAATCCAAACATATTGGCTGGATTCACAAGCCAAGATTAAGAAACTGCAGTTGCTGTTTTCAAACATGTGATATGCAAGCATCTTACATTAGAGCAATGAAAGCATTCCCGCAACACAGTGAGCCAAAAATCACTTTCATCCCTCCTAGTGTATTCTAGCATGTTATATAAATTCAGAGAGTCATCAAATTATTCATACTGTTGTATTCATTTTACACTTCTGCATTAGCAGCCAATATAAAGACTAAAAAGATCTTCAGTCTTTAAAAGAATATATACAAGGGCCCAGAGAAGAAGAAAAAAAGGGTATTTCTGAGTATCTTTAGGAACTGCAGTTCAGAGTAGAATAATTAGGGTTTTCTTTCAAAAACAACTCTAATTTATTTGAAAGACCTGATTCCATAGTGCATTTTAAGAAAACCATGTGTATCTTTGCAACATACCGGTATTACAAAACATTTTAAAAATTCCCTTTTCTCAAAACGTGTAAAGCCATAAATAACCTTAACCAGTACCAAGCAGAGTTACAGTTTATTTACACAAGCATTTCACAATCCATGAATGGGAAGAAAAAAATACAGATTTGACAGGGTTTTTTTTAATATCTAGCTACCTGTACAGTCTGAGATTATATAGATAAAACATTTTTTAAAAAAATCAGAGACCACAGTACAGTACTTTCTTAAATGATTTCTGCACATGTTCAAAAATATCACATAGGTGCAGTTTTATACATCAACAAATTTAAAAACTCATTAATCCATTCATGATAGAATACAAGGTTTGTTTTTTTCAAGTGAAACAGGCCTACCTTAAAAAATAATGGGTGCAGGTGCAGATCCGCATGTAAAACGACCTTTGTCCTCCCCTCTTGCTAAATTAATAATGTTCAAAAGTCCCCAAAGTTTGTACTTCCAAAGTTGCCTGAAACATGATCCCAAAAGCTTGAGTTGCAGTCATGGGAAACAAACAGGGATCTACTTTTACTCTTCTTTCACACTTGCTATCTTTACATTGCTGCAATAGTGTAAAGTTAGCCAGCATTTTGATACATGATTTAAGTATTTAATTACTTGTTATCAGGAAGTGAACAATATCCAGCTTTTCCCACCTCCCTTAGAAAGAGGGAGAGCTATTCACATCAAATAGCTACATTATAAGGAGGTGTTAGGCAATTGTCTGATCCATACTTACACAGCTCTTATAGAATACCGAGTCATATATTTAAAAACATGTGCTAAGTATGAAATCTAGGCAAGTGGCCCCCAAACTTTTGGGCACCAGGGACCAGTTCGATGGGGAGTTTTCCACAGAGCAGAGCAGAGAGTGTGGTTTTGCATGCTGCTTGCATCCCGTGGATGGGACTTCGCTTGTTTGCATGACCCGGTTGCTGGCATGCCGCAGACCGATGCTGATCCACAGACTGAGGGTTGGGGAGCCCTGGTCTAGGCAATGCAGGAGTAATGCTTTGTAGATTAAGATCAGGAAGGAAAAAGATTAAGATTCCTGCAAACAGGTTTTCCTTTAACAGAGTGCCACAAAGCTAGGTTTTTTTTTTATCACTGTCCAGAAAGATCTTTCAGGAAGGCCCGCCTTGATCCCAGAATCCTCTCTATACAACATACCTTTTGCCCAAGTATATAATGGCAAGAAAAGAAGATCAACCTCAGTAATGTTGACTTGCTATGTCTCCTATTTCCACACTTGAAGCAATTTAGGACAGCAACAGATCTAGCATTTATGCCTTAACATAAGCACTATGGTAAACAGAATTTGCCCCCACATGTAACAGCACCGGAAAAGCATATGGAACTCTGGGGAGAAAGGAAGAACTTGGCAGTCCCTTAGAGATTCTTCCTGTAAACAGTATTGCATGTGCTGAAAGCTTTTCACATCAGGACAGTTGATGGGGATTTTTCAGAGAGCTTTCCCTGATGTAATTGAGCTATGGATTTTAACAGTGGAAAACATGGAGTTTCTCTATCTTTTGATCAAGGACTTTTTTTAGTTGCTAGGAACAAAGAGGGAAATGAAGCAAAAGAAAGTTGTCAGCCACCTCAATCCAGGCAACAGCCTCAAGCAGTTGTTATTAGCAATTTGGATCATCTACTACTGTAGAAATTAACTACAAACATTCTTACATTAGGAAGGAAACAGCTAAGCTTCAGTAAATTAGACGTATGGGTAGATACAACAAATGATCTTTTTCATGTGCACACTTTTGGAAGAAAAGAGGGAACACATTTTGAAATGGTTACATAACTTCTGTATAGTTGTTGTACACATTGTAAAGGTTCAGGAAAGGGAAGCAAAAAGCAGAGGCAATATTCCATAGAAGTAGTACTACAATTTCTAGCATCTATCTATAAAATCATTGTATCATGATTTATGGCAGTAGATTTGAAACAGCAGTTGTCTGTAAAAAGACTAGAATAGAGCAGGAATGAAGTGGAGGGAAAATATATTTGGGGGGGGCGTGAAAGAGGGTGAAAGGGGGAAATATAGTAAAACTATTAATCTAAAAAAACATATTCTCCCTCCCATCCCATCCCATTATCTCTAACTTTTTTGATTTTGCCCCTAATACTCCAGCACAGTTTTAATATTTTAAATACACTAAGTTAAAGAGAAATTAATAATAGCTAGTAGGTCAGAGCATAATCTCCCTGCCTGGTCTCAATGAGAGCTGTTTTAAAATTCATTAATTCAAATTTACAGTAAATTGTCAGGGACATTTAAACATGTGTATTAACTTATATGTAATGCATGTCTTGGCTCATCAAGATTAGATAAATAGAGATTTGTATCCAAGCACAAGTAAGGAAATTAACTTCTTCACCAGCTTCCTGATATCCATATAATAGGAAGAATACAACCCCAGACTCTTAATGTTGATTTATATAAGATTTTAGAGATGCTAGTGGTGAAGAAGCAGATAGTGTCAGGAAACAATAGTGACAACAGCAACATCTTTTCAACCCTCTGCCCGTCTCAGCATATTAGGATAACTGAACAAGGCAAAAACCTCAGAGAAGAGGCTGATCTATAATCTCGTGCTACTTCTCTTGACAATGAAGAGGCCACTGGAGTAGACACTTAAGACAAAAGGGTAGGCACTGATTCTTCTCCTTTCTGCCATACCCTTCCAAATCAACAAAAGAGCACAGGCAGGTTTATATGCATAGATGCCTCTCAGCCCTGCCAATTCAGCCTCTAGCACTGCTAAGCAAATATGATGCCACCATATATATAGTCATGATTGAACAACCACTAACATCACAATAAATAGACAAATTGAAACGGGAAGGAGAGACACCAATTCCTCCCTGATTGATGGAGGTGCTATCCACCTTTAAGGCCTGCCTCAAACCACCACCATCCCTTTTCCCCAGAAGTGGAGAAGCCCACTCTCCCCCAAAGCAGCCCTAGTCTTTCATTATACATCTGGTGGCCATAGGGCTATGCCACGTGTTTTAGGAGGCTTGAGACGAGGGCAGTGGACACATGCAGCCATCTATCTTCACAGTTAATTATTGTAAAGGTTGTCCGCAAGGGACCACTTGAGAGGATATCAGCCAGATCTGTCTCCCGATCTGGGTCAGAAAGGAACAGAACAGATTCCTGGAGCCCTCCCTGTTTTTCTCATCTCAAAATTATTCAATTTATGTCATCATAGAGGCTGGGAGTAGGAGGGGCAAGTGGTTTAGACTTCAGTTTCTTTTTACTGGAGCTCATTCCTGAAGCACTTCCTACCAGGCTCATGTGTGGTTTCTTCTTTTTGGTTTTTCGAGATTCAGAGTTGTTTGTACCTGTTGTGGGGAGAAAAAGAATGCATTTTTAAGTATTGTGCCTGCCTGTTTTCAGTCCTGTTTTTCAAATAATTTCCTTGTCCTTCAATAAGTATATGCCAATTTTGCCTGGGCAACAATTTGTAATTATTTGAAAAACTTCTCACTGCCCATACCAAGCTGAACAAAATAAATCACTTCCATTGAAAAGCACTGCCATGAAGGGATGAATTCTGCTGTCAAATCTGTATGGCCCATTTGCACACACGAGTCATCAAGTAAAGAGCATGCCCAGGAGAGTAATTGCAGTGTTGTAATTACAATAATCATCAGCACAATCATAAGCTTTATAGTTCAGCAAGCCAGAAAACATACAATTCCCTGAGTCAGTACTGACAATACTTTTATCAAATGAAAAGATTTTTCATTAAAGTGGCACCTACAGCAATATAATCAACACTGGGCTGTAGTGTCTTTTGCCAATTTGATTTGTCACACTTGCATGTGCTGTAAGTGTGAGTAAATAAGAGTAAGTTCATATACTTTTACATCAACTTCAGTTTATTATTTAGAAGCATTTCCCTAATGGGCTTCTGTCAACTTCTTAACAAATGAAGCAGTGCAGCTTCTAGATGTTGCAGACCAAGAATGCTCACAGGATTCAGACAATACAGCAACTGGCAGAAGATGATAGATTAGCATTTAAACAAAATCTTCAATGGCCTTTTCTCTTTCTCTCTCTCTTATTTAGGGAACTATTAGTTATCTCGTGATTTTCCTTTCTTATTGTGCCTCCATGTAGTCTGCAATGCAGACTATGTAATCTGAAAGAACAGGGAAGTTGCTTTCAGTGGGGTATATCTTTGTACCTGTTTTTGGTAGAGATTATGGGCAGAATCTTTTATACAAATAATTGCCAATGAATTAGCTGATCATAGCTGAAAAGAAGCTAAGAATATTATTTTCAAGTAGTCTGCCCATCAGTTTTTATGAAGGAACCATTACATTATTTGGCAACCTGTGGGAATTCCTGAATCATATTCCTAAAGGTTGGAGTTGTCTGCATTCAACAATCATGTTATCCCAGCATTGCAAATAGCATGGTGAAATCCAACAACTCAAACTGCGCAAAATGAGCTACTGCAACACATGATGTTTAGAATTATAGGAAAGGTTAAAGAGCATCTAGTGCATAGGTATGAACAAGATAAACAAGATATCCTAAGTGATAATGCTTTGATGTCCTTGCTCCTTCTATGTTCAGCAGTACAATGTGCTACGACAAAAAAAGGTAAAGAAGCAAATACTCCTACAGCCTCACAATTGAAAGTTACCTTGAGACCCAGTATTTAAGATGCAAGCTATTATCACTTCACCTTGCTCTCTCAGGCAGCTAAACACATTCTTACTTGCTTTTGACGAAGCTGAATCAGAGGGAGAGATATCTGAAGAACCATCCCATTGAAGCCGACTCATGAGAGCTTGACTCTCTGCCACATCAAAGCTATCATTTTCCACGCTGCTTTCTGTTTCAGGAAGTGAGCTAAGTAAAGGGAAAATATATGAAAAGGGGAAAAGATTAAGGTCAATTCTCTTAACTGCAGCAACAGCTAATAGAGAAATCCAACCTGTACTGGTAGAGACAGAGGCAGTTTCAGCAAAGCTTTGGAAGTAGGTTCTACAGCACCTCCAAACATTACATTTTTATGTGAAAGATAGAAGACAATGATTAATACATAAGAAGTAATTAACTATGTTAATATTCTAATTTTATTTACTCTTAAATTTCATTATTTTGGCGTAGCCCCACCTGCATTTTCTGGCATACTGTTATAATTACAAAGGCAACATGCCTTTCGTGAACAGAAAGAGAAACAGAAAGAGGCTTGCCTGTCATATACCATCAGAAAGAAAAAGCAGAAAAGACACTGCCTTCAACTGTCCATCCACATTTTCCACTAATTTTTTATTTTTTATTTCTTTTAGTGTGAATTTCTAACCTAGAAAGATATGCTTGAAAAATTCTGGATGAAATATGCCTAACTCTGAAAAACCAAATGTATCAATGTAAGTTTTCTGGGGCTCAGCAAGAAACCAACAAAATGATAAGTTGCAAAGCAGTAAATTACTGAAAGTTGTTCCACTTCCTATGTTCAGTTAGCAAAATTCAGCAACATTCATACAGTTAAACAGTATGAAATATACGTTAGAGCAGTGATCCCCAACCTTTTTTACACCGCGGCCTGGTACCGGCATCAGCTGGGCGCCGCCATCTTTTTTTGATGAAAAAGTGCTTCCGGTGACCTCACCGGAAGCACTTTTTCATCAAAAAAAGATGGCGGCGCCAGCGCTTCCAGTGAGCTTTTCCGGGTAGAAAGCCATTTCT